TACAATTGCATAGTGTGCAGTACACTAACACAGACAATATAGAAAATTAAATAACACTGTTAAAATGCTAAGTAAGCATACAGGTTTTGTTATTAAATGCATTAAAATCAGTAAGGTTCTTTTCACTCTACATCAGAAATATCTTAATGTTTGTTCCACCACTTATAATCTAAAATGTGTTATAAATAAGCTCTACTGTACTTATTTTTAATGGATACATTGTGTACCACTTGGTAATTTCCAAGACAGGAAACTCCTGTAACACTGACTGCACTGGATTAACTTGTATTTTACTACATGTGCCTCCCATAAAGGTGACATAGCAATTCAGGCTACCCCAGTAATTGCTTTGTCTAATTTTTCTAAAATCACCTGTCATCTAAAAATAGACTTTTATTGATGTCTGAGAAACCTGGTGAATCTGTTATCAGCCTGACAGGAGTGAAAACTCATTTCAACTGCAAAGGCAGAATTGCTTATTTTAAGAAATCCTTATTTTCAAAAATTATTCATGCTCAGCAGCCCTCTGTAGAAAATGACGAGGTCTTTAGAAGTATACATGCTCTGAATCAGTTTTTTGTAAAAATTCAAGGATCGTGCTGCTTAAATATTCAGAACTGAGGATAATCAAGCATTAACTTAATGTGAGAAAAGAATTTTAAAACCATTATGGTCCTGGTTATAGTCAGCTTGCCATATTTACACAGAAGAAAGTAAGTGTTAAAAAGGGGAAAGGAGGACACCATCTGTTGGAAAAACAACATTGTAAATGAAACTGCAACTATGTCAAATCAATCCATTTGGGATGAACACACCACAATAACAAGGTACACAGAGAAGCATAGAGAGAATGATAAGGAATTTCATAAACCATAAGGCTGTTAAAATGAGATAACAGTGCAGGTACTAACGACAAAAGTGAAGTGAGAGAAAAGCAAATTTTCCGTAAAAACTGCAATTGCAACTTGGCCAGGGTTGTGAAGTGCTGCCTCACAATCTGATGTGGTTAATCTCTGCAATCACCCAAGCTACTGTACAGCTTTTTCACTTGAGGAAAGTGATGCCACCTTAATTCATACACTGGTGCTTATTTGACATGCACTGCATTCAGATGCGATAGTGACAAATGCAATGCATGTTGACAGAGTAAATTAACTTCATACAGAGTTGCAAACAGCGGTGTTATAGAAGGACAGCATTCACCCTAAGCGTTCTCTGTCATGCCGTACTCACGTCCATGAAGGATGAACTCTGTGCCCGTGTAAAGTCTACTGACTTGCAAAGGATAAAGCATATTATTGATCCATTGCTAAGCACAGAGCATGAATAGATTGAGTTTACAAGACACATATGTAACTAAAGCGAATCACAAAAGCTGTTAATAAAAAATACGTTCATTTGGCTCCTTCTTCCCAGAATTAAAAAAAAAGAAGAAACAAAAGCAGATAATAGTTGTATTAGCTATTCAGCAGTATTTCCAAGCCTTCTACAAAATAATGAGCCTAATCACAACCTTGGTTATATTTACATAGTATATATTTAAACTGCCACTGTAAAAAGCCTTCACCTGCCTAGAAAACTTAAAAAGGTTGCTTTGGTAACTTGCTGGTTACCAAAGCGTAGCTATCATTAAGGCTTTGTTTGTCAGACAGGTGCAATATTCCCAGATTTCAGCTTCAGTTGAAAACCCTGAGAAAGCTGAGAAGTGTGTACAGCCACTTGCTAATTTAATTCGCTTAGTCTATTAACAGACACCATACTTAGATTGCATAACTGACTAAAAAAAACCCACCCCAAACTGACTAACATATCATCACTAATACTTAAGCTTTTAACCTAATTGTGATCCCTTCAAGCTTGATTATTTGCGGTGTGACAGTGTTATTTTAGAGCAGTCATTTGAAGAACATCAAATAATTCTCTAATGTATTCCTACAATTTACTTATGATCTTTGATTTTGATACTAGTGTTTTCCTCTTTTTCATAGGCACAAGATATATAACTGGAAAATAAAGTCTATAGAGTAAATTCATGTTAGAAAATTTGTATGAATATTAACACACCCCCTTTCTGTAGGAATATGCCAGTTATATTTAGTGGGTTAAAACTTTACAAAGTAGAAAAAGGTAAACAAGAATTATTCTTTAGTGTAGAACAAATTGTGACTTGTTTTTTTTAACTTAATTCCCGAATGTACATTCTTACTGATAGATTGCCTCCATTCAGAAAGGTTGAAATGTCACAGTTGAGACTAAGGATACATAGTGCAGAGTGGTAACACAGAAAGACTCTTTAAAAAGCTTGGAATGTTATGGATTTTAGCTGAGCAAAGAATCTCAAATGTAGGTGCATTCTCATTAAGAAGTAGCAAAAGTAATCTTGTCACTGCAACAAGAGATGAGGTTATCACGATTATAGAATGCAGAAGATACTGACTGCTACCTAAAACTTATCTCTGTTTACCTCAGTACCTGTCCTTATTTGCTGGTGGAATTCAAACCAGGAATTCAATAATATGGAACATAGGTCTTTATCTTTTGAAATTCATAAATGCAATCGTAAATCATTTAAAAGAAAGCCCTGGATATTCTGCATTTTATCAGGATGTTTTTTCTTGCTTTCTTACTGCTGTTATGAAAACTAACACTCTCAGACACATTAGATGCCATATGTGAACAGATTTGGAGGACAAAAGCGATACATGGGAACCTGAGAATGTACGACAAGGACATCTAGGCCCAGAATCTAAAATGAACTTAAAAGACCCGGTTTTACAGTGTGAACTTGAAAGCCAAGAATTGTGTGCCTTTTCTATCTATGCAATACATGGTAACTTGCAACGGGTACTGCTCTTGTGACTGTTTCAGAATATTAAATCATCATGAGACAAAGCTCAAAAATAATCCTTGGCATAAATATCAGAAAACAACTGCGTTGTCCTCTCTTTCCAGTTGGATGACAATTGCAGATCTAAGATAATTTTCACTGTTTGCTATCTGATTTGGTAAATTAGAGACCTGAGAATTAAAGGGCAGGGTTTCACATTACGTTAAGAAGAGCTCTTTCAGGACAATCATTGCATGAAGGTATATCAAGACTTCCAAAGGCAACAGTAATAAGAGTCCCCAAAGAATTTTCATGAACTAATGAAAGAACGTGATGTTAAGTCTGACAGCACTTTTGTTCCTGAAAACTGTTTTAACTCCTGGAAATAAAACAAAAAATGAAACCTGGGATTAAAGCAGGTACTATGCACACAGATGTTGTGTGAAGCACGCCTTGAGAAGTGCTCCAACATAAGCTGTGTTTCATGGTAGACCTACCTTCCCAGTCACGGTAATCATCAATTTCACTGAATTTCACTGAATTTTAGAGTTGGAAGGGACCATAGAGATCATCTAGTCCAACTCCCCTGCTGAAGCAGGATTGCCTAGAGCTAGAGCATGTTACTCTATTTATCTATGAAAATACATTACGAGTATACAAGACAATTCCCTGAGATTATAATATGGCCCGTCAACCACCCTCATCTGACGAAAGTCCAATGTGAATCTTTACTATACAACAGCTGTTAGGAAATGAGCTCTTCTGCAGGAACAGTTATGCATAAAATTAGCCGTCAAGTGACCGTTTCCAGCGCTGGAGCCCTGAGATGCTGCCCTCCCACCGGCCTGCCCGGGCAGGGCACAGGCACTCGCCAGCTCTGCTCTCCCTAGGACTTCCCCAGCGACCAGGACTCCCCCCTCCACCGTTCCGCAGGGAACAGGGCTTTCTCTCCCGACGCCCTGGCGATGCAGTGGAGGAAAAAATCCTTCATAAGCATCGACGTCTGGCTGAGGGAGGGAGGGAGAAGGGAGGAATGTCCCCCAAAAGGACCCCCACGCTCGCCACCCGCCACAGGGGCGGCAATAACGGCCCGCCCAGCCCCTCTCCCGCCCGCCAGGATCTCTCACCGAGGCCTCATCCCCCAACCCGGCTCTCACCCGCGCTCAGAATCCCTGCCCGGTCAGATCCAGCTCACCTCAGCGTTCCTCTGTCACTGCCATTGCATCACCCCACGAAACCGGCACGTCACTCAACACCTCCCGGCTGAGAAACGCACATCTCCGGAACCATTATTTCCCCTGCCCTCCCTCCACTTACAGCCACTAGTCCAACGAAACGCCCTCTCCACGGCCCTCAGAGGCGGGATAAAAGCTTCAGTGCGCCAAACTACGGTCTGACCAGGCTCGGGGTGCCTGCGGGAGGGCGGTGACAGAGGGAACCCTTTGAGTGAGACACCTTGTTTGCATCCGGAGCCCTTTTGAGGCCGCTGGGCCGGCGGGTGACTTCCGGGCTGGGCCGGCGGCGCGGAGCAGGTACCGGCGGGGCGTGGAGGGGGCAGCGGTGAGGGTGAGGGGGGTGAGGATGGTGGTGGCCCCGCCAGTGGCCTTGGTAGTCGGGGGTGAGGGCCGAATTCGCGTGTGGGAAGCGGCAACGGCTGCGGTGCCGGGGTGAGGGGGGAAGAAGCGGTGCTCGGTGCCCGCTCCGCCCCCGGGAGCGCTCCCGGCCCCCGCGTGGGCACCGGCGGGCCCTTGGCGGGCCTGTGGTGGTCTGTCTTCAGGGGTGATGTCTCTGCTTTAACGGGCACGGGGAAATCACTCGCGTGGAGAGGAAAGAAAACTGGAAGTTCACGGGGAAATCGCTCGCCTGGAAAGGAAAAACTAGAAGTTGTGTGGGTTTCCCTGTTGGCTCGGCGCCTTGTGAACGGTACCGTCCATCAGTTCACAGTCTGGTTACGGCACGTTCCCGATTGGCCCCGCCAGTGGCCTTGGTAGTCGGGGGTGAGGGCCGAATTCGCGTGTGGGAAGCGGCAACGGCTGCGGTGCCGGGGTGAGGGGGGAAGAAGCGGTGCTCGGTGCCCGCTCCGCCCCCGGGAGCGCTCCCGGCCCCCGCGTGGGCACCGGCGGGCCCTTGGCGGGCCTGTGGTGGTCTGTCTTCAGGGGTGATGTCTCTGCTTTAACGGGCACGGGGAAATCACTCGCGTGGAGAGGAAAGAAAACTGGAAGTTCTGTGGGTTTCCCTGTTGGCTCGGTGCCTTGTGAACGGTACCGTCCATCGGTTCACAGTCTGGTTACGGCACGTTCCCGATGAAGTGCGTTTTGGGGGTTTCCCCCCCCCATATTTTTCTATAGTTAGCATGAGAAACTCGGGGGTGGTGTTGCTTTGAAACAGAAGTTGAATGGGAAGTCTTAAGATGGCAGAGTTGCTTTGGTTTTACAAAAATACTGAGGCTTAGGGGTGATGTGTGTGATGGGACGGATTTGTGTTTGTTAGCCACATTTCTTTCCAATATCTTTTTTTTTTTTTTTTTAATCTGGTGTGTATAAAACACTGTTTTGCACTTACCTCTGAATCTCGGCTTATTTCTTTTTTTTTTTTTTCTTGTTACAAGAAATAAAGTAACTTTGAAAGTCTAACCCCATCCACTTGCGTATCTTTCTTTATAGCTTTCCACCAGCGGTCAATTTCTTACTGCATGTGTCCTTTGAACACTATGTGTTTTGGTTGAGGCGTGTTTCCAGCACTGCAATACAAATAGTAACCACTTGTTGCAATTACTGAAGTGCAGTCCTTTAAAGTTACTGTATATTTGATAAGAGGTTTCAGTTTGTGGCTATAAATTTCAATTTACTGTTTTTTTAATTGAATTGCTAAGTTTTTATGAAACACTATCTCATTAATTTTTGCTTGACACTGTTTAAGTGAAATGCTGTTTTGATAAATGAAACTGTATGATTAAAAAAAGAATTTTTCCTTGTTCTTAGTTGCTGTGGCTTATAGCTGTCCTAAATTTCAGATAAAGATAAAATGTCCTCTAGAGGGAGATCTTGATGCTTTTATGTGCTAAAATGTTAGTTACCTTGTTCCAGTTAAATGTCTCGATCACTTGTCTTGGAAAGGATCTGTGATGATGAATGTGTACATCTTAATAGGAATTCTGGAGCTGTACTTGGAAATTTCATTATAGAATACAGACCATGGCCTGTAGCATAGGTTAAATGAAACATGCTTGTTTTGATTCAAAAAGCTCTAATTCTGAAGTTAAACGAGTAATCTTTACAGGTTCCAGTGTAGTAGTATTTGTAGGACCTACATTTGTGGCATTAATTCTGCAAATGCTTATGTAGATACTGACCTTCATACAGCATTCCCATTTTAATCATGATGTGTTTGGGGGCAGCTTCTTCACTGACAGAAACCAAGAATTTCAGCAGCTGCTCTGAAAGTGCTATGGGTTAAATCACTTCAGCATGATGAGTGCTAGCAGCTGGGCAAGGACACAAAGCAGAAATAAAATGTCCCATTTAATTAGTCTTAGCAATTGAAGGATAGCAGTACTTTTTGACTGCAAACAGCAGTGGCTGAAAGATTATTTTTGCAGGCACATCAATTGTTTGAGTGTAGTTAACCCTATATTCCACATGCTCTCCAAATGTTTGGAAGAAGGTTGGTGGGATCATTGTGGTGGTGAGTTATTCGGCATGTTACATACTCAGTTACAATCTCAGCATGAGATTTCTTTCTCACAGACACTTTGAAAAAGTTTATTCCACAGTAAACAAGGCATCTATGCTCTTATTTTTCTGTCTGTAAATGCAAACAGTGAATTCAGTGTAGCTTCTAGCATAAGGCAGTTCTGTAAAGCTAAAGGCTGTTTGGAACTTGCTCTGTGGATATAGTTGGAAAATTTCCCCATGCTACAAGACTGCTGAATGAGTCAAAAATGCACTTTTTTTAGTTGCTAGTTGAACCCCTTCAAACTTCTTTCAAGTCATCTGTACCATTAAGAAATAGATATTAGACTGACTCCAAAATAGCTGTAGTATTTGTATTCTTATAAATGTGCATACCAAACCACTTCATAATTAATTGCCCTCTTGTGTGTGTGTGGGGTAAGTGCTACTGCAAGTAAGGTTAAAGTCATTTGCAGTACTTATGTTGCAAGTTTGTTTTCCTTTTCATACTCATTTTCATTGTTTTGTGGTATGCAAATGCGTCTCTGCAATGCATTAAAAATGTATGCCAAGTGCTTGGAGGCAAATGGTGTTGCATAATTGAATGTGAGGATGTTTTATAATAAAGGAGTAAATTCCATTAATAAACAGGAGTAAAAGTTACGTTTTTTTTTTTTGTTAAGAAAAGTGTATTTATTTCCTGAAGTTACTCAAATTGTAGACTCTGTAATACATTGTGCTCTGAATAATCAATTCTCTATTGTAGATCATCACTTTTGAGGATTCCAGCACTAAGGTTTTGGGAGTCTGCTGTGTCTGGCCATAATGAGTTCGTCACTGGTTGCTTATGATGATTCAGACTCTGAGACAGAAACTGAAAAAACTGAAGTCCCCAATACTTCTAGCAGCGGAACAAGCTTTCCAAGTTCTTCTGTGAATCCTGTTCAGTACTTTGCACCTGGTAGTTTGGGTACGAAATCTACATATGAAATGCATCCTACTGAGAACACTGACAGTTCTGGCACAAGCAGGGTTTGTGAAGATGCCCCCAAGCATTACGCACAGAATAATAGCCCTGATTTGACATCTTATTGTAGGAGAGTATACTCAGGCTGTACTGCTTTATCTATGTCCTACAAAAACTATGAACAGACATCGAGCTCTTCAACAAACTCTGGAAATGGTGTTTCCCAGAAGAGAATACATAAAGACAGTACCACTGCCATAAAAGGAATCAGACCCTATATCCCTAAAAGACTGCGTCAAGAAAATTCCAGTGTGCCTGAAAATAAAGAATCCGATCAGAGAGATAGCTCAGTTTGTGATGTTAAGCTGGGCGTATCAGGAGAGCAGACTTTGAGAAAGACCTCTGAATTAATTAAGCCGTATTTGGGATCCAAATATAAATTAACTGAAGTCCCCAAAAGTTTAGTATTTCACATGTCTAAACACAGCGGCCCGGTTAATGAAATCCAGTGGTGTCCTGTACGAGAACAAAGCCACTTGCTTCTCTCGGCTTCTATGGATAAAACAGTCAAGGTAATGTAAAGCAAGATGCTTTGTGGACCAGTCATCCAACTTAAAAAAATACTGTATTGAATAATGATCTTCTGGGAATAACATCCCTGCTTGTGTGTATTTGACAGTTCCAAAGTATTCATGGAGGAGATGCTTTGCAGTACAAGACTCTATTATGAACTTGCAGCCTAATCCTTCACTGTACCTACAGTCAGTTCTGTTATTTTGGAATGTGGGTGGTGGGGTTTTTTTCATGTTAGACATATCAGTGTTTTAGATCTTAACTGAAGAAGTTAGATTTCTACTAGGTCATCTCTCATAATCTGTATTAATGTTAAGTTTTCATTATTTCCTACTTCTTAATGTCACAGTGGCCACTCTGGTCTGGATACAGATTCTGCCTTAAGTCATCAAACAACTGACTACCACCACTGGAATAGTATTTTAAGGAACTTTACCTTTCTGAGAGGCTAAAGTGATTACTGCTGGAGGAGAGATGTCAGGTCAGATGGATTTTTCATCTGAACCAGTGTGGCAGGTCCTGCATCCCAGGAAGGTGTCCTGTCATGGTCTCAGGAGCCTTCCCACTTTACGTTTGTTTCAAGGGTTATTTGCTCAGTACATAAAGTGTGTTTTCCTTCTAGCTTTATTCAATTCGGCTTCAGTTCTTTGCTTGTAAATTTAGTCAGACCAATGAATCTTACTTTTATATTACCAATGCATAATAAAAATATTGCATGTGTATGCTTTCCCAGATGTAGAGCTAATGCCACCTCTGGGTTAAAGTAATAGTCTTCCAAAGTGGGTTTGCACAGGAACAGAGTTTTGATCAGAGCACAGAGAAAGTGTCCTTTTTTGTGGAAGGCATGCTTTATTGTATTTAATTTAGGGCTTTAAGTAAATCTTACTAAGAAAAGAGGCAAGAAGAACACTGTTTGTAATGGCATACTTCTAAAACCAAAGGAGAGGAGGGAAACTTGAGTTCTGATTTCATGTAGGAAAAAAATTCTTAAATTATCTTATTAAAATTAAGATTGATTTATTTATTTTTAAGTCTTTTGCTGCTTAATTTGTAGTGGAGCATTCAGTTTCATTTAGCTTGGCTTTTCTGTGATTTTTCTTATCTTGGGTCTTTTTTTTTTTTCTTTCCTCTTTATCCAAATTTGCCAGGGGCCCTGTGAAATATGTGCTGACTTTGCATCTTTGAAGCAGTGGTGTTCTTGAATCTTGGACAGAGTTTTTGTTTTTTTCTCCTTAATGTCTCTTAAAGCACTGGTGCTCACAGAAGAGAAAACCCCAGATTTATAGTACAAATAAAATTTACTCTTCTCAGTTGCTTGTCTTCTGTTCTCTTAAGTCACAATAACTTCACTGGTTCTGTAGCCAGCATAACCTATCAGACCATCAAAGTCTGAATACTTTGAACTGTGGGTAATTCCTCCTTCATCTTTTCAAAGCTCTTTTAACATCTTTGTCTTAAAGATTAAGTGGAAGAAAAAAATCCCTTTGTTTTCTTTGCAAGTGTTCTTTAATATATTGAATAAGTTAAATCTTGGCTGCAGCTTGAAGGACAGGCTTCGAAGGAAAAGACCAAGATAAGCAAAAAGTGCTGATGGATGTTTTTAGTAAGCAGCAATTTAAATTTGGATTGTATAAAATTATATGCACCTCTGACTTCAATGTGTCTGAATGTGACTTTTTGCCTTAAAACTGTCACACCACACACTTAATGTTTGTTTACTATCCCAGAGCCTCATTTTGCTGATGAATGAAATTATGGACATGTTAAATTTGGTAAAACAATCCAAAATCAGAGCTGTTGTTGCAATGTAAAATAATTAAAAATTGGAAATAATAGCCTGTCTGTTTTGTTTTCGAAGCAGAAAGAAATATTAGTGGGTTGTTTTTTTTTTTTTTTTTTTTAAGCTGTTGTTGCAATGTAAAATAATTAAGAATTGGAAAGAATAGCCTGTCTGTTTTGTTTTTGAAGCAGAAAGAAATATTAGTGGTTTTTTTTTTTTTTTTCTGCAGCAGTGTTACTACCTCTGATTGGAAGCAGTCTTTAAAATTAAAGCTGTTTTTTGAAGAAATCAAATTGCTTAGGTGACCCAAGCGATGTAAATAGAATATGTTAATGTTGGCAACACTTCAGAGCATGCGACTCCAAAACATTAATAAAGTAATAATGCCAGTGTTACAAAGCATATTAAAACACACTTCCATATTTTTGGAAGGTAGCCTGTAGAGAAATACTTATGAATGCTTTTATTTCATAATGAAATGGAAACCCGTAGCGGTACGAGCAGCAGCAGCTCAGGTCTGCACCTTCACACAAGCACCTCTCGGGCCAGTAGAGGGCACGGTTAGATCAAGTATTGACTTGATGGCATGAAACTAATTTCTTCTAACTTTCTAGGGTCATGAGCCCATAAATCTCTAATGACTATGACAGCAGTAGTTTATCTTCTGGGGATTTTGTGGCTGTCTACTATTCCCTGAAGTTCTCCACTTTCTGATGTGAGCACAAAACAACTGATTCAAAATGCAGATGTAGGATGTAGATACTATTTTTTTTTCGATCTTGTACCTTCCCACAGCTTACCTTTGTTGTTGTTTTCTTCCAAAAACACCTGCTTGGATTTGCTAGTTTAAAATCCAGGCAGTGGAAGTGTGTTCTCTTTCCCTTTAATGGGAATATGCAGACACTGAGGATGTTTCCACTATTTACTTTGAACATCTGATTCGGATAAAACTCAAAGCGCAGTTAGAAGCCTGAAATCCCTGTGTGATCAGAGACAGTAGGCAATCCAGAGCTTTAAAACTCTGTGCTTTCAGTTAGTCATGTCAATAACTGGCTGAATATTTTTGTGTGTAAATATCTTGGATTCAATCCCCTACCTTCAGCCTCTGCATTAAGACATTTATATTTTGAGGAGTCAAATATTAGTGGAGATTTCTCAGAATTGAGATTTCTGGCTAAGCAGATCTGACTGACAGTGGTGGTTTAATTTATACTTAAATAAACTATCTATAGTTGTATGCATTTTTTTATAGTATTTAGCCGAAGAGTTTTGCATCTTTTATCTGTTCTTATGTGCTTAAGTATTTTCTTCTTAAATTTTTCATCACAAACGATGAATTTCCCTTTATGGGAAAGGATTTTCTTTTTTTATTTTGGTGTGGAGAAGGAAGAAATACTTGGTTTAGCTATCTTAATCTAATTTCTTTACTCCTATCTAAAGTACTATGACTAAATTGTCTAGATCTCACAGGGGTATTTCTAAAATGTATATATAGAACTGATTATGTGGTTTTGTACTTTTAAAGTGTATGTATCCTGTTTAAAACAGGGGAAAGGAACAGTCCTCCATTTGTGTTCTCCCAGATTAACCAATGTACATGATACCATCCTCTTTATGAATCAGTGTAAGTCACATTAAAATATTTACAAATAATGAGTTGATGTTTTCAGTTTCTGTTGATTGAAGAGTAGCCCAGTGTCAGGAAAGATCATCTGAAGCAGTTTGTGTATCTTGCAAATTTAGGAAGGAATAAAAGTATTTGTTCTTAGTTTTTTGTCTACGAGTGCATTTATAAAAAAAACCAAACAGTTATCAAGTGGTACAGTTGGAAAAAAAAATTAGTTATCAGCTCAGGGGTGTAATTTTCTAGAATAACATTTCTACCAGCAGATGGGTCCTCAGTATCCAAGAGAGGGATGGTAACTAAACTGTTCCTTTAAAGACTGGAAGATTTTAATGTTTGCCTCCATGTTGTGTGTCAAAAAAACAAAATTAAAAGTTTGCGCTTATGTTGCAAACCTTATAAGAAAACTTCGTAGAGACCTGAAGGTAAGACAGAACCTCATATGGGAAATGATATGTATTGCAGACTAATTAGCCACAGTTCTTCAAATCAGGATCGTTAATAGAAGAATATTTGTAAGGAATGGGAAAAAAAAAAAAGTTTAGATTAGGCTTTGGTAAGTCTTTTACTCTCTACTTTCTTAGGATTTTGAGCTTCCCCTTTGGAAAGCCTACTTTGGAAAGTAGCTGGAGAAAGGGGCAGGAAACCTGGTTCACATTAGGGAAAGTACGGTGGGGAGCTCTTACTGTGGCAGTGCTCTTCTTCACTATTACATTCTAACTGTATTATCAGTGGCTTATATTGCTAGTTTAAGTATATATTTTAAGGATTGTGAAACATAATTGTCTGAACTGATTAAATTTCCAAATTTCTTTGGATAATGTTTCTTTACCTTCTCCTTCAATAGCTCCTGTAAATGAAATTTAGGCTACTACTGCCACTTTTGGTTTTGCCTATTTAAACACCGAAATAGTGTTTGTGATTTTAAATCTCATCTAGTATTTTTTGCATAAATTTGGAGACTCAGCACTATTATTAAAAGTGCCTAGTTTCTGTAGTGTGGATATTTAACACTTTCTGAACATCAGACCTTGTTTAGGTATTTCTGGTTTAGAACCTCAAATATAGAAGCGAAAAATCACAAGTTACCATTGAACACAGCTGTTTACCTCAGGCAGCAGGGTAGATAAAAAGTTGTCTCTTGAAAGACATGTTTACCAATTGCAGAAACCACAGGACTGCATTCACATTGTTTGTGTCTTTTATTTGGAACACCTTGTAATTGCATAGAGTCACAGAGATGTAAACATTTTCACTACTTAATTCTGCTGGACTTAGCTTTTTAATAACTGTTGATAGCTTCAAGGCTCCCATACTGTTATTCTGTATTTCCTATTTTGTCTTAAATTAACTCAAGGTAACATCTTTATATAATCATCTGTAAACTTTTAATTCCCTGTTCCTGGTTTTCTATTTAGAGCATCACAGCAGGTATTCTGTTTGTTTCAAAGTATTTCTTAATTTTCAGCACTTTCGCCCTCCACTGATAAACAAGATCAAGAAAAGTATGTACTGTGATCCTTTGGTATGCAAAATATATATTAATAGCACTTTGATGGGATAACTTGTGTTGTAACTCATTCTTGGAAGCTTTT